ATCCTACGTCCGCAGCATTTTCTGGTCCGGACCCCTACGAACGCAATCCTGAGATTCTGGATACAAACCACTCTGGTGTGGTACACTAACTCAAGCAACAAATATAGTATGTTACTCCTGGTAGCGTCCTACATAGTACACTATCGATGACAACTCTCAATGAAAAGGTCAAACTATATTTTTGCTGATAAATAGTCTACGAATAATTGCTTTTGATCAAGGAGTGAAGGTAGTATTACTTCAACTTACGTCGAGTGAGTGATGTATGAAATCTGTAGACGTGGATATTGATTTTGTGTATTTTTATTAATCTCTATAAGAGCACTTTGCAGTGGTCGGATTCCATATGATTGTACCATTGTCAAGTTTACGATGATAAATTTTTAAACAGTAAGTAATGTTGGTATAATTAATGATAATAATTAACAACGCATTCCTAGAATATCGACCTAATCTTTTACAGCTTGGTTTCAATAACTGTTTTTTTGAGGTTAACATAACATATAGAGATTGGAATAATCATACTGAGACGGCAAAGGTTTGCAGCACAGGTAGGTGTTTCTGTATTCTGTAAAACATGTACTTTAATCATATAGCCTGCATTTTATGAAAAGACTACATTATTACACAACATTCAAAACAGAACTACTGAATAGTTATCAGGAAATTGTATGCTATATATACATATATATATATATATACCCGGCCGTTGCTGCTACCTTGACGTGGTGGTCGGGCTGGAACGATCGTTCCTCAAGGTCCTACAATGCCAGACAGGTCGGTTGATGAGCGGTAAGACTAAAAGCAGCAATCCCAAGGTCCGAAGGCGAGGTCGTACTGCCGATTGTACGGAGGTGTGACGGCAGTAAGGCGTTTCCTTCAGACAACCAGCATAACAGCGATGCTGCCTTCCCACAAGGAGGGGTGGTTTTGGAAAAGGTCGACCCTAAAAATGCACACCTCGCCTTATCCCACGGATTTCCGTCTTCGGCGGTAAGGTCCTTTGAAGAACGGAGCTAACACGTCAAAAATCCCCTACAAAAAGACCGTGCGTGACCGGCCTCAAGCAGTTGTCCCTTGGCCACTGCGGTCACGCTCTCAGGTCGTTAAGACCAACTTCTTTTTCAGGTCCCTCAGGAAATACCCTTCTACGGTGTGGGCAGCCGGGAAGTGATATTAACCTTGATACCCGAAATATATTTGGGAGGATTTCAAAAGAATTTTCAAGTTCTTATCTTAGTTATTTCTGGAACAAAATATTTATTTTTTCAGTCATAAATATTCACGCTTAACCAGAATTTTTTATGGGAAAAATACTAAATTAAATGAATAACTCAAAACCTTAACTAGCCGGTAATTTGTTAGTCTATCGATTTTTGCTTAAGTATGTGTAAAAATAAAAAATGCAAAACAACATTCTGCCATAATTTTCCCATCCTCTAAAAAAAACTAGGCCCCAAATGCCCTGGTATGGCCGAGAGTAGGGAGAGCCCGATCTCCCTCTCGAAATGCTCTCACATGGCCACGCGAATATATAGCCTCTGACAGGGAAGTCCTACTCACTGCCTTCTCGCACCACGGGTGTTGTTTACGAAATTGAGAGGACGAATAGCGAATGTCTGGCGCTTTAACCGGGTTGGTGGACCCGGCGAGTCCACTTAGGGGAGTTGGAAAACCCTGACTCCAAACCAATGGTACAGATGGGCTTCAGTATACTAAGGGAACAAATGGCGCACGAATCAATCGTTGATCACCGGCTACCATGGGACTGCATCTCCTCACGATGCTCCACTGCCTTGTGGATCAAATCTTTCGGTCAAAGGCTCCGGGTGTGGCCCCCTAAGAAAACCACATGCTTCAGTCTGGGCACCTGGGCAGTATCACAGCCCTCACACAAGTCGAATGAGATTTGTATGGCGCATATGTATCTGGTGCTTCCTTGTACCAATATTTATGTGTTTAAATAATAAATAATAATAATCATCTTCTATGAATAGAAATCGTTATTGTCTAACCAATATTCATAACCAAACATTATTTGATTGCACATATTTCCTTCATTAGTGTATTTTTTGATTAATTAAAAGCTAACTTATTTTCTGTTGGTTAATGTACTGAATATACGTCTGGTCATATTAAACTAGCCATTTGCCAGTTATACTTATTACGTTACGAACAAGAGATGGGAGATTATTCAACCAGATACTGATTAAGCTTTTGCGATGATTACTTTTAGACACTAAGATTTGGAAATTACGAACTGAATTGTATTTGCGTCACTTTATTTACACAATGTTTTTTTCATAGTTGAAATTATGAATTAATTGAAGCTAGACCACCATGGGAAACCTGGACGGCCGTTTCGTCCTATTTTGGGACTCCTCAGTAGTGCGCATCCACGACCTCGCCTCCTGAGATCTGAACCCAGGACCTACCAGTTTCGCGACAGAGCACTTAACCGATAGACCACTGAACTTGCAGGCACCCGATGGTGTTAATGTCTAACTTCAACCAATCCACGATGTTTGATCAACCGTTCACCAATTGTCTTCAGTGAGTTGTTATCTCACAACAGACGTGATTGAACTCCACTGGTCACTGCTTCTCACTAGAACTCCAGGAAATATCTCTTGAAGTCAGTCACTAGTGAGCATATGATTATAGATCAGAAGGGGGTTTTGTGGAGATTTCAATACGTTACTATATCATGTTTACACTGCATCATTGCAAAAGATAAACATTGTGTCAACTCTTCACGGAGACCTTTAGTTTTGAAAACAATATTCGTAACACAAACTATAGATAACGATTCAATGGAATGGGTCCTTCTAGGGTCACTTCATTGTTGTTTAATAGGCAACTTGTGTAATGCGAAATTCTTTTTTATAACCAAAATAGACAAAGAAACTCGATCAAATCTAATGATAACTGATAAAAAAGGGGCTTTGTATATACACACCCCTATATATTTTGGATTCCTACAAAAGCGTGCAAATTTCTTTTACACAAATCATCTCATGAAACGTTAGGTTGATGTCAACTCTTTAACACGAATTGGAATTTCACTAAACTATTTGAATTGTCGAAAAGGTTCCTCATCAACTTCTTGCTATCATCATGAATTCAAACCCTGTCACAATGCAAAGATTACTTCTGTGTAACACATTTAGGATTTGGAAATCATTTTTTTAGTTACTATGACGACTAAAGGCCTCTCTTAATATTATTTAGGAAATATAAATTTACATGTGATAACAACTACTAGACATTTGTATTGTCTATGCTTTTACTGATTTGTACTTTTCTTTTAATTTGGAATTTTTCGCAGTACGAGCGAAAATGACCTTTCGTCTGTTGACGAAAAAAAGCATATTTATATTAATATATCACTGAGTAATGGGGCAACGTGTTATTTGGCCTTTAGAACTACTGAGATTTGGTGATGAGAAACGAGTCTTTAAATAGTAGAACGCAACCGATACGAAGACTGTAACCTAGATTTCATGCTAGACAGAGCTTTTTGGCAAAGAATATCAACAATATTGGGGAGACTGGTACGCCTTATAGACGACTTCGATCCATCTGTAGCAGCAAGCAAATGTTACTAACGGCTCAGGTGAACTCTGTCAAGCTATCTTAAGTTTAACAGATCCCCAAGGGAATTGTCTCCTTATCATACTGTGGTGTATGTATGAACTAATGATTCTTCTGTCCTTGACGACTGCCTGATTTCGGATTCCAAATACAATACGTTTGTTCGTGCTCATCTATTTCTTCTCGGTTAAATTAAGTTATTTTTTGGATTCCTATTTTGTACAATAATTCAAATAAAAAATAATTCATCACATATCTACTATATCTTTTAAATATTCACTTAACGAACGGGATTTTCGAATAAAGGGGCGCTACATATATATGCGCCACACAAATCTCATTTGATTTGTGTGAGGGCTGTGATACTGCCCAGGTGCCCAGACTGAAGCAGGTGGTTTTCTTAGGGGGCCACACCCCGAGCCTTTGACCTAAAAGTCTGATCCACAAGACAGTGGAGCATCGTGAGAAGATGCAGTCCCATGGTAGCCGGTGACCAAACAATTGGTTTATACGCCATTTCTTCCCTTAGGATACTGAAGCCCATCTGTACCATTGGTTTGGAATCAGGGTTTTCCAACTCCCCTAGGTGGACTCGCCGGGTCCACCAACCCGGTTAAAGCGCCGGACACTTGCTATTCGTCCTCTAAATTTCATAAACAACACCCGTGGTGCGAGAAGGCAGTGAGTAGGACTTCCCTGTCAGAGGCTATATACGCGTGGCCATGTGAGAGCATTTCGAGAGGGAGATCGGACTCTCCCTACTCTCGGCCATACCACGGCATTTGGGGGCCATTTTCTAATATATAATAACTAAGAATTGCATAATTATATTAAATAGTTATGTCGAGTAGGCAAATATAAATTTATTCATTACTTTGAGGTTGTTTCATTTAAGACAAATTACTTCCTTAATACCTATTTGTAAACAAAATTGTTGGTTATTTCAACAGATGTGTATATAAACTATCACAGTTAATAATACTTGCATAGTACACGAATTCGGACTCAATTACTAAGCTACTGGACTGATTTGCAGTAGGTCCTTAAAATGATTACCAACTTATTACAAAAGTGTAGCTAGTTCAAAACAATGGGTTTGTTGAGTGTTCAGTGAGTGCACAACTTCAACGCTTTACGACAGAAAACTTTACAAACATCTGAGTCCAGAAAACGAGTTATGGTCTTAAGTTTATGTAAGCTAAAAAATTAACGATAACTATACGGAGTTAAGTATTTGACTGTGAATCCCCATCATTGTGAAGATTAGTGACGTTAGTCATCTTCCAAAAATGGCATCATACAGACTCTGTTCAAGACTTGCTAATATTAAGTATCAGGTTATAATTACACGCCTTAAACTTTTCTAAAAGTATTTATGAACAACAGAAGTAAAGACAACGTAACATTTCAAATTACTTCAATTGAAATATAGACCATAAATTGTTATTTCTGTTACAGCAAACAACGAGTGGACAGAAATCAATTATTGCTGGCTAGTTTATCTTTAACAAATCAGAACTTGGTACATATATATATGGATCGACCAGTTGGGCTGATGCCATGACCAGCGACATATCGTAACAGTAATTATTACACCAAGCATATATTTTGCGGACACACTACATGTACGAGAACATTGAATTTATACATACATAACTTAGTTACATGAGATTGATGTTTATTGTACAAGATTCAGGACTAGTTGGAAACAAAGAAAATTCTTGGATATATAGTATCAACACTTTTTGAACCCTACTTCATCCAGATAGAGACCATACACTTGCCAAATTTTCAATATCACTGAAACTCATGGAATTTAATCTGACAGACAATGCCTACAAAATAAAAAAAACAAATGAAATCGGTTGAGTAAGGTCAATGCATATTAATGAACTTTTGAAATTTGAAATAGAACAGAAGGTTGAATTTACGTATGTAACCTCACATGAAAATAAGTTAGTCTAATAGGTGTTTAAATATTTTGCCCATAATTTTTTACGTTACTCCAAAAGTACCATCCCTAGAAATCAAAATAAACCACTATTGATGAGACATACATAACTTGTATTAGGACGGATCGTTGCCCTTAGATTTAGTGATGTGTTCATGATAGGGATCTACGGAGGGAATACTAAGCCGGCAGAATTCAACGAAATTTCTGCGGACACCATTTCTGAAATAAAAGAAATGACTGACATGGGTCTGCTTAGTGTTAAGTTTAATAAATACATAGCTATTAAGTTAACTGCTGTAATACGTGATGTACCTGATCGTTCGGATGTTAGATACACGGTTAATCACAACGGAAAGGCAGGTTGCGACAGGTGTGTTGTAGTTGGTAGACGACTTGGTGGGAAGATAACTTTCCCAAATGGTGAATATACGTTAAGAACGGACGACAGATTCCGACATCAGACAATCTATTCACCATCAAGGACATTCCATTTTCGAAAGCCTTCCAATTAACATGATCTCAACTTTCCCATTAGATCCAATGCACATGGTGTACTTAGGTATCACAAAGAATTTTGTGACTGTCTGGATAGAATTAGGACATAAGAGACTGATGAACGTAAATTCATGTGTAATTAGGAGTATAAATAAGTTAATATCTAGTTGCGTGGAAAATACTTCGTCCGACTTTCAGTGTAAATGCCGTACACTTGACTTCTTATCGGTATGGAAAGCGTCAGAGTGTAGGTTGTTTCTTCTATATTTGGGCCCAGTAATTCTTCAAACTACTCTGCCAAAACCTTTGTATCCAAATTTTAAACGTCTTGCACTATCCCTTTATTTGCTTGCACATCCTAAATTACATAATAGGGTGATAGAATCTGTCAGGATGGATTTAAGGAATTTTCTGAGAGAATATGAATGGTATTATGGGTGTGAAAACGTAGTTTATGGTGTGCATTTGTTACAGCATCTTCCTGACGATGTTCTTGTACATGGACCGTTAGACAGTTACTCAGCATTCCCATTCGAGTCTTATATGAGGCAAATTAAGAAATCCGTACACAGTGGGTATTCCGTTGCTAAGCAAGCAGCTCAGCGTTACGCGGAACGAATGTCATTCTGCAATAGGCTTCAAGTTAGGATATCGACTGACAGTAACCGGTAAAACTGACTCACGTAAGCGAGTAATAATGTAAAGGAATAGTAAAGTAACTTCATTTAAGCCTGATAATGTTGTAGTAGTTGACGGAAAGCCGGGATCAGTAACTGATATACAGCCCCCAAATGCCCTGATACGGCCGAGAGTGGGGAGAGTCAGCTATCCCTCTCCAAATTCTCTCACATGGCCACGCGAATATATAGCCTCTGACAGGGAAGTCCTACTCACTGCCTTCTCGCACCACGGGTGTTGTTTATGAAATTTAGAGGACGAATAGCAAGTGTCCGGCGCTTTAACCGGGTTGGTGGACACGGTGCGTTCACCTAGGGGAGTTGGGAAACTCTGATTCCAGACCAATGGTGCACATGGGCTCCAGTATCCTGAAGGAACGAATGGCGTATGAACCTATTGTTGGTCACCGGCTACTATGGGAATGCATCTCCTCACGATGCTCCACTGCCTTGTGGATCAGACCTTTAGGTCAAAGACTCGGGGTGTGGCTCCCTAAGAAAACCGCCTGCTTCAGTCTGGGCACCTGGGCAGTATAACAGCCCTCACACAAATCAAATGAGATTTGTGAGGCGCATATTTATCTGGTGCTTTGTACCAATATTTATGTGTTTAAATAAATAAACTGATATACAGGAGAATGGACTTTTGAAATTCCGGCCATTCACGGATCCACATAATTACTTTGAAGATCCCCTCCCTTCTGGTGAAATAGGAATATTTAGATGCTCCGTTATTTATTATTTATTTAAACACATATATATTGGTACAAAAGGGCACCAGGTACATATGCGCCACACAAAATAATGAAAGTAGGAAGAGAAGGGATGAAAAGATAAGGCGGACTAAAATGTACAACCAGAAGACTCTTTCAAATAGGAAAGTAAGAACCACTCTTTATATAGAAAGTAAAAGAAGGTTGCAGCAGGATCGCCACTGGCTTCGATTCTGAGCCATATCTGATAACGTCTCTAGCCACTGTGTTGCACCATCTCTCGGACCCCAACCAAGGAGTCGTGAAGGACCAACAAAAGCTAGCCCTTTGCAGCTTTCTTTCATGCCACGACACCATGTCATACACTGACCTCCTCTCCGCTTTTTCCAACCAGTCCCAGGGTCGGCAAATAATGCACGACGTGGAATTCTCTGGGACGACATTCGTAAAACATGTCCAAGCCACCGAAGTCGGTGTTTCAAGATGGTGACACCAATTGAATTATCGTCTCTGCGCCCGAACACACGATGCCGAACCTCTGCATTACTAACATGGTGTTGCCACTGGATGTCAGCAATCCTTCGGAGACAACGATGATCGAACACAGAGAGACGTCTAACATCCTCAACTCGGAGAGGCCAGGTTTCACAAGCATAGAGCAAAACTGCTCTCACCGACGCGTTGTAAATCCGACTTTTCACAGCCAGACTAACATCACGAAGGCGCCAAAGATGGCCCAGATTGGCATAAGCCGATCTGGCTTTCCTTATACGTGCATCAATCTCATCACTCACGCCACCACCAGCACTTATATAGCTACCTAGATACACGAACTTCTCAACTACTTCGATCTGCTCACCATCCAGGGTGAGTACAGGATTAGAATCCTGCCAGTCTTGTAGAAGTACTTTGTACTTGGAGGGTGCAAAGCACATGTCATACCTGCGGACACTGATTGCATGCTCCGTAGTTAGTAGTGAATACAGATGGATTTCGATTTAAGATGTTGACTGTAAATGTATGGCTATAAATTGTGTTCAGTATTTGGTTATTGTTCCTTTGTTACATACTTTCATGTGACTGTATTTCGTTTAATTTCCTGTTATGTAATATTTAGCCTACCAACAATAAATACGTCATCATAGACGCACCAAGCAAAAAGAACTTTGTGATTGCGGCCGGCCATACGATGCTGAAGAATCTGTCGTCAAGTATTAGTGAATTGAGTAAAAATACGAAGCAGCTGCTTTCAAAGATCGCTGAGAGCGAAAACCCGCGTCAATTTGACAGTGGACTATCCAGTCAACAGTTCCCTTTGTCATCCGAAGAGGAATTGGGAACATTGGATGCTTGTCTAGAGCAAAAATATGTGAGGGACGAATTTGTAAGCACACAAGTAATTTTATCATTCGTTCGTATTACAGATGACCATGTTGACGCATTTAGTGGATGATGATCCTAAAACGTCACTGCGATATATTTTGCTGTACATCATGACACCTGAAGTCGCCAGTGATTTCATGCTACTTGGCACTTCAGAAGTGCCAGTTCTAGGGCTGCATACAAAGACACAAGGTTTTTAAACTTCAGATGCATTAACTAATCGATTCCTTTCATCATCTGTCAACGAAAAAGACTTTGCCAAATTGTATGACATCGCTACGCAAGGTTACTTTCACGACATGATAGACAAGGTACAAAAGCGTTATCGAAGGAAGAAAGAACATGTACGTACGACTTTAAAATGATTACTGTTTTCTACTTATCTATATATACAGTCTTCCGTGTTAATGAACATAACCGTAAGTTCAGCTTCAAGTAGCTAGTTGTCCAAAAACAAGTTTTTCAGATAAAGTAACGTATTTCTTTCTTACATTTTAGAATTCACAAGAAATTTTTGATTCTCAATAGTCCAACAGGCGTTATGAAAAGAAGTAATACGTGGTATGCTTTTCCTGTTGAACTTCGTTTTCAATAAATATTTTTTAAAAGATGTGCCACATTTCAATTTGAGGAAGCCTGTTTGATTTTAAATGCATTTGCAATTAAGCACATATACCTTATTAACAAAACATTACCTGTATTTTTTTGCAGCTCTTTTTAGATGACACGGGCACATGACAATTGCAATTAAATTATGACGATTGATACTCTAGCATCTGTAAACTACTCATAACGTTGTACAACAAAACGCTCTTCGTTTTCAACAAAAAAATTTTAAACACACCATACTTTACGTACATTACACTTCGTGTGCTGTTGTAGGAATGAAGGCGAGCACAGATTTTTGAGGTAATGACAAAAGCGTTTTAAAACTGGGTGCAAAATTACATCAGCATGTAAGTAGGAGAAAAGTAGACAATTCGGCGGATATTTAGGAGAAAAATAGACAATTTAACGACATTTGAAACAGAGTGACATATGGGGAAATTCCGCTTTATATCCCCCGGACAGACGAAAAGGCAGACATTTTGGCGCATTTCCGCATCATTTCCCCCGTATTTCCAATGCATTTTCCCCTGTGTTCGCCTTTATTGGTTGTTTAGGATGGTAAATGTGAGACCAACGTTAATAATCAATATGTAGCCTAACACAAGTACACTTAAACATCATGAGAAGAGGCAGTTAGGTCAATCAACTCACCTGGAGAAATTTTGAGACCACGAAGTCTGGATTAACTTCAGGAAGTTTCTCAGCCAAATACTTGCGCAGAAGAGACTCAAAGTCACTTCGTTGTGGTGTAATTTTTGTTAGTAAGGTAAGTCTGTCTCCATCCTTGATTCCATAATTTAGTAGAGGCTTATCTTTGTCTGGAACATTAATTAGACACTATGAGTTAACTACCTAATAAAGGACATCCTTTAAAGACTAAACGCTGATACTCAGGATCAATATCAAATGCACATTTCACTGCAGACAGTAAATCTGAAACGTATGCATTATCATTCACCTTCAAAAAGTAAGTCTAAGGGGCGGATGGAAAGGTACCTGAACCACTTTTTCAGCACGCGTCAGAGGCTTCACCGTTAGTTGCATTTAAGACATAAACAGCGCCTATACCACTAGACAATATCCTTGTGACAGGATTCAATAGCCAATATATCTAATAATGTTTCGGAGGACTCGTATATACCGACTGACTTTTTTGATGTCCCACCATGTCTCTTTGTTACGGTTTCAGGCATTTGGTAATATCCAATATCAGAAACTGTCACATTAACAAACGAGAGTTTGGTTTGTTAGTTCTTGTGTAAAAGCAACAAATCGAAGGTTCGAATGCTGAGAAAAGACGATTGTTTGAAGAATTAAATAAATAAGTTAATTAATTAGTAATGCAGACAGTGTGACAAGACCGAATGAAAGGTTAAACAGAGATAAGAATAGGTGAGATAGGAGCAGGTTAATGGGGCATGATGGTGACGATGACAGTAGGCTGGTTACGAAACATGTACTACGTACAGCTAACCCATGCATGAGATGACAATACATGTGTCAGTAGGTATTTATCAAGTCTCCACTTGAAGCCACTCTATGAGAAGTCTCTGGACAGTTAGATTGGAAAAGCATTCTGAATAGAGACAACTCTTGATGAGAAGAAGCGAAGGGGTACATGAGCTTTTGCTTTATGAAGAGCAATTTGTCGGAGACTGACTCGAGAGGCGTGATGGTGATGTTCTAGTAGGGTGTTCGCTTTTACGTAACTTGGCGTATTTAGTAGGTTGAATGTCATTATCAGATCATCTCTTATTCCATTACCATTCTACAAGAACAATCTCAAGTGTCTGAGTCTGTCTCCGTAGAATTCATTCGACAACCTCATCACTCAATCAGGCAGTTGTCTTCATACTAGATCTGGGAGGTTTGCGTCTCCTCTGAAGAAAGTGAGCTTGACAACATTTCGATATTCCAGGTGAGGCTGTGATTATGTTTTCTGTGAAGTACCAGAAACGGTTGTTAGGTGATTGTGTCAAGTTGTATTTGTATAAATTGAATCATTGCATTTACTTCGACTGCATCACCAATACAGCTTGAGTTGATGTCCCAGGTCTCTGTGATTACCAATCGTAGATCGAGCACTGAGGAGACAATTTGAGCAGATTTTCGTGTGGAATGTTAGTTGTTTGTGTCGCAGATTTTCGATGGCTTATGACATGTCATTTGGTTACAATCTACATTGTACTGCCTATTTCTCTATTGTCGTGAGGTCCTTTGGAACTCGAAGAGAATGATTTCTTTCTTTTCTCGAACACTATCTTCGCAGCTTCCACATGGATTGGTGCCTCCGATCTCTTTCGTTCCTCCTTAGCTCCTCGTTTGTGACCATGTTAAATGTGAATACTTTATATGTAATACCATTTGTTGGTATTTGAACATGAACATCTTCAACTGGTAGCTGATCATTTAATGGCAGATGGCCTAAGTCTCTTGTAGCAACCTACATGCTTAGTCAGGTCTGGATTTTCAATGCTTCGACCACTTGCTTTTGGAACTGTTTTTCAGCTATCCCACCCTCCATACTAAAACATGAGGATAGGCCAGAATAAAAATTGAGCAGCACCTTTCCGTGATGCACTGAAGTTAATGAGCCAACGCAGGGGGGCTTGTAGAGGTCGGACTAGTCACCTGCTCCTTATAAAAACTTGTTTAGGTAGAATAGGAAGGGGTGTATCGTTTTACTGGTAAGCATGAATGACAGTACTGGGGAACAATATTTTCCTTATGTCTTATTGAATTTACTCTGGAGGAGGTTATCAGGTTTGGCGAGGACGGGTGTGATCGAAGTGCTTCATTTAAACCCGTCCTTGGAACCTTCGCTATACGATGTACGTACGGTGCTGTGTCGAAAGCTTTTGCGAGACCAAAGGATGTTAATTGGATTGGGTATTTCAGACCTAGGAGGTTGTCTCGCTGCCCCTGATATGAAGAGATTGGACCAATTGGAACTGTTACCCTTATATATCGCTTTTGTCCACATGTCCCCTCATTCCATTATTTGTTGGTTCTTCCATTATCCTAGACAATAAGGGGGGTAATGCGGCCGGTCTGCAGCAGGCTGAATCTTCCCCCTATATTATTCTGAAGATTGGAGAAACGGTGGCTTTTTCCATTCATTCCGAAATTGTCAAGACTCTAGTGAGAGTCCGGACACATCACATATCATTCTACTGATAGTTTTCGTTCATTATTGCACGAATATAAGGTGAGTGTTATTTCTCGATCGTTACGATCCTCAAAATTTGGCCGTTCAATAATCCAGACCCACTAGCCTGTAGGTTTTTGTTTGGTGATAAACCTATATAGATTTTTCAGACTAGCTTTAGTTGAACTTCATCTTCCATTGATGTCACTAATGACATTCAACGTTTTGTTACATTTAATCCCGTTGCTGAAGCAGCCATTCCCTGTTTTCAAGAAAAATGTTAGTTCTCGAATACTGATGTGGATACCCTTGTAGGGTGTTTAGCAATTTTCAGATACGTTGCTTGCGTATCTGTAGATCCAAGCCATTATTTGGGCATTTATCGAGGTCTATACCGTTGGTGGATAAATACTTCGCTTTCCATCATACATTATTTTGATGTGAGCGATTCGCGTTAGGGTAAGGGTACTGATAAAGATTCGATTACTCCTCGCCATCCCCATCAGCACTAGTGAACGCGTCCTTGACAACCCTCATTTCGGCTGCTGATTTGGTCAGGAATCATCCTCTTTCAGTTTGAATTCTGGCGTTGAGTCTGTTTATCAATGCCATGTACGAACCACTGTCAGAATCCTTCGGGAAAACTTTCCATTTGTCCTGGGCTCTCGCTTTTGCCCGTGGCAAGCGCCTAAGCCAGGATTTCTTTCTAGGTGTGTATTGTGCTTGAGGTACGTTGCGTAGGTATTCCATTGTTAACTTTCACAGCTCCTTTGAAAATACGGCGTATTGAAGATGCTCCTTTGTGGTCATGTAGTGTGGTCTAGTGTATGGAATGTAAGGATCACTCTCATCTTTTCTATGTACCTCGTTTGTGACCATATTGAATGTGAATGTGTCATGAGTAATGCCGTCTGTTGGTGTGTGAACATGGACATCCTCAACTAGCAGCTGATCATCTGATAGTAGATAGTCTATGCCAGGGGGTCTTCAGCCCTTACTAAATATCGTGGCCACAGCCGTATTTTCAGCAAAGCTCGAAATTCTGGTGGCTGAGACGATTCGCCATTAAAGCCATTATGTAGGATTTGTATCCTGTTACATGAGAATCGGCGACGAAGTACTGAGGTCTACAACTTGAAGTATATAGCCGAGTCCTATTTGTTTTGACTGAAATACCACCTGGATCATCCTCTATTTCCGGGCGTTTTTTCCTGTGTGGGCTCGGTATATTCCTCTAACCACATACTTGGTTCCTTTTTCATCATAATAACAACAGACTGATTTTGTTGTCTTGGTTGATTCAGTGTTGTGGTATAACGTCTTTTAAGCTGGCTTTGATGTATATCACCATTCCTCTCGCCGTTTTGTGTATCCTACCGTATCAAAATGTGTAAATTTTGCATGTCCACTTCGTCATCCATGATGTCGGGGAGAGCTTTTGCCTGGTGGGAACTTTTGGACTCAGTCAGGTCTTCTCAGTTGCTAATGTCTGAAGCCACTATCAGCTGGCGCTAAGCGGTTATGAGGTGTAATTTCTGAAGACTCTAAACACCTCGTATTCAAACGAAAAATCCTTCCTTTTAATAACTTTGATGGAGTCTCTCTCGTTACGTGTTGTTTAGAACTTCTATATTGCAGTAGAAAAGTGTCTACTCCACTCTTTAATTCTTCAAATTTTGGAGTAGAAACGCAATTAATAGCTGTTTCCAATGTTCTTAAGAAATTAACTGTCTAAACATTGGATCAAGAGTGACAGGAAACAGTGAACAGATGTCTGCACCATATACCAGTTGAACAGGTAGTAACTTCGGTGTTGTGGAAAAAACGTAAGGCCATTTAGCAAAAGAATCAATCACAACAAATGAATAGTATTTGTAGAAAAATGAATCACAGTAGTCCGTGTGGACTGTCTGCCAGTTCTCGGATGATAATAGCAGCGGATGATTGTTCAACTTACGACATCTTCCACAATTGTTTGTTGTACGATGTATATTTGCTTTTGTCTCCGGCGATCAACATATGAATCCTTCCAATGACTCCACTTTCCCTATGCCCGAATGTTCACTATGAAGATTTACATAGTAAAGGAAGAATAACAGTACGATCATATAGACACAAAATACTATCTGTAATATTGGATAATTCGTCCCGCTCGGTAGCAGACAGGAAGTCCACGTTTCAGATAAGCAGTCTAGCCCTTTTTTATATCACTGAGGGTACGTCCAAAGTATCGATAAGTTTCTTTAATGAGATCTGGACGTTTCACTACTAAGGGTTTCCCGAACAAGCGATCTGCAAAATTAATATGTTTTTGTTGTAATCATTGTCGAGAAATGTACTCAACATTTTGAATTTTTGGTACTTCTGTGCTAGATCGTATAGCCATAAGCACTCAGAGCGATACTTCATTCTTGAACCATAGCAGCCAAGGAACATGATAAGTATTTTTAAACATGATAAATGGACTTTAAAGCTTCATAATATGCAACAATGGTGAATTTCTTTCCAAATAAATATTTACGAAGTTTTTTAACAAACCGAAACACAGCTTATGCTCCTCACTGAGTTTGTGAATAACCTTGTTCAGCAACAATAAATTTGCGTGAAATATAGATTCCTGGACTAACTACATGCCCCAAAACTGCACAAATATTCACAGGTGGTGCTTTACTAGTACATACAGAATGTACGCTAGGGAAGTAAGTTTCAAGAACAGCATCACTTTGAAGAACTTCTGGTAGACTTCGTAAGTGTGACTCTTGTTCGTCACCCCATTTAAATGAACTGGATGTCAAGACTTATGATCAACAATCAGCACAACAGGAGAATTTGAGAATAAAACAGGAATAGTAATGAAGTACACCATTAGTGAGTGTAGTTCTGTAAGATTTTCCGAAGATGGTGCATTTGCCAG